CATGCTTGACACGGGGAAGAGAGACACAATCAGCAAGGGAGACGTCAGGGGCTGGGGTCCAAAACCATTTATTGAAATGGAACGGACAGGAAGTTCACATGAAACCAAAGCTGGACATGCAGAGGGAGGGACGATGCCTCGTTAGATTTCTTAAAGGGTTGCCGTATTTCTGATCATTTGAACAGCCTCTTTGTCATAGGATGCTACTTTGGGAAGGTAAGAGGCTTTTTTTTCCCCTCCACTGGAGTGGCATAAAAATAAATGTCAACTCATATTATATGCATACATATGGGGTGTATTTATTTTCTGTGGGAAAATATCACTCTACCAGTACTTAAAATTAAGTTTCATTATACTTATTTTATCTTTTTTTTTTGTACGGTAAACCTGAAGTCATCTCCTTAGGCTAGGCAGCTCCATTACTTACCTGTAATTTTTTTAGGCACAGATGCAAGATATGGCTCATACGCCAGCCTACTCCTGCTGTTTGAGAATGATCCCCGCTGCCTGTTCAGGTACTTCAGACCCCATCACCCAGGAGAAAAGCTGCTTGTTGGCCAACCTGGGCACATCATGTACAGAACAGCAAAACCCAGGGCATTCGCTACAGGAGGTCTAATCTGGATCCTAACGAATGGGAACACCTGGGACACAGGGAAACCTGGCAGTGGGGAAGGACCAGTGCAACACAAGAACACAAGTCAGGGTTCACTTTCTTTATAAAACAGGCGATATCCGTACAAAGTGGCCACAGCTGCAGGTGCCTGGCTGGGATGGCAGGAGATTTAATACTACAAGTGAAAACCTTTAAACCTTTCCTGTCTCTCTCTCTTTTTTTTTTTTTTTTGGACACACGAGTCTTGCATCTGTGTCAGTTCATGCATGCAACTGCAAAGCTTTGGTGAAGCTGGAGGGTGTTAGCTATCAGAAACCTACCCATCCTTTGGGGCAAAGGCTGCCTTGCACAGACACTGTTGGGGACTGCCGAACCATGGGAGCCAAGAGACAGCCATGGAAGCAGCCTGGGTTTCTAAAAGCCTGGCAAAACACACCAAAAATGCACTCTGTTAAAGGCAGAACTGCAAAGACTGCTGCGATGGAGAGCTCGCTCCCTGGCTTCTTGGCAAAGTGTGGGATTTGCCACACAAACGTCCCACCTGCAACACAGCTGGCTGGCGATAGACAGCAATCCTTTTTTTCCTTTCCAGAGCCACAGCTAGTCTCCAGATGCCATGTAAAAGACAGCAGCAACCATAAAAGGCCCAAACATTATGAAGTTTGACTCTCAGTAAGATATGCAGGCAGGATGGGCAGACACTCACCCTGCCCAAGAAACAAGAGCAAGGAGGTTGGGAGGTGGGATGAGAGACAGCAAGTGACAGATGTGCTCCGAGATCTGAGATCTGCCGACTGAGCGAGACCCACACAACTCTTGGACACCATGAGATAAAGACGAGGCTGCACATGCCGGCTGACCTGCACAGCAGCCCGGCTCGCTCCCGTGCCCTGGGGAAACCTGCTCTCCAGCCCCACTGCCAGGCACTGCCCTCCCTAGGCCAGGGACACCTCTGCGGGACTGGCACACGGAGCCGCAGCAGAGGCAGGATTGTGAGAAGTTAATAGAAAAATAAGATTTTAAAAAAAAAAAAAAAAAAGGCAAAAAACCACAATGAGCCAAAGCAACCCACACCACGAGCAACGGCAGGACACCTGTGGCAGGGGAAGGTTTGTAACCCGCAACTTGAAGGCAGTTCTGCCCCAGGGAATAGTCCTGCTCTGTCCATTCCAGCCTTTCTCTCTTAGAGACAGAAGTCGCTGCTGGAGGTGTGAGGGTGATCTGGTAGCGTTTCTGCTCGTGGGTGCGGCTGGCAGGGGGGAGCCGGGCTCCCCCCCAGCACCGGGTGGTCTCTGAGGAGTCCCATGGGCGCGCTGGGCAAAACACAGCTGCTTTTGGGCTAGGAGAAGAGAGAGAAAACAGAGCATTGAGGCATTTTACTAGCACTGATTGGGCTGGTGCCCAGAGGAGGCTGGCAGGAGCTGGAGCAGGTCTGCTCCTGCCCTACCACCCCCGGTGGCACAGGGGCTTAGTAGCGACCCCATACACATCCCCCCACCTTCCCCCAGGTCCTCCCTCGCAAATGCCAACCTGTCGCTTCATTGACAAGAGGCTGAAAGCACAGAGAGGGCAAGTGCATCCAACCTCCTCAGCTGGCACTGACCTTCACCTACTGACCTGCTAACTGAGCTTTGCGGAGTCTGGCCAGCTATCACAGCCCTGCAGCTCACTCGTGAAACCCATCGGTAAACCATGGGCACCCGGACTGCACCTGAAGCAAGCACCTGGGTCTTGCACCCTTGCTGCACTCCTCCTGGCAAGCCAAAAACATGCCAGCCACATGAGGTGGCCACCAAGTCTACCGATGTATCAGGACTGTGCTTCACTGGTCCTAAAGACCCTAAAGCCCTAGGCAGGACCAGAGTCAAGCTCTTGAGCAGCGCTAGAAGGTGCTTGGCGTATATAGAGTTAGAAGAGATGGAAAATGGGAAGACCCAAGGTGCATGGTATGGGCTTCAGGAAGAAGCAGAAGATGCTATGACAGCATCCAATGGCCCCGGAGGCTAAAAGAGATCCCTGTGAGACACCAGGGCACCCTTCTAGTAGCAGAAGATGTCTGGCAGCAAGGAACAAGCTACTGAGGGGACAGTACTTGCCAAGGCAGAGCTGGGTAAGCAGGGAGGCAGGACAGACTCACCCTTGGCATCTCACCCTGCCTGGTGGTGCCACAGGGTGGGTAAGCATCAGGCTGCTTCAGGATCTAGACCAGCTCTCCACACTATCAGCCCCAGCCCAGAAAGCTCATGGCCCTTACAGACACGCATGACATCTGCATCAGGGAGAGGGCCAGGCAACTTTCACTCCCTATGCCCTCCCCGAGCAGCTCTGGTTTGGGCTGTTGGCCCCAATCCCAGGGGAGTCACTGGCAAAAACAGCCCGAGAGGGCACCAGGACACTCGGATCCAGTGCTGCAGACCTCACCCTGCAATGCTGGATGGCTAGCAGCAGCCAGACGGGCTCTTGATAGGGCTTATGCACAAGCCACGAGACCCTTCCACAAGGGAAAGAACCTACGATACAGCAGATCTTCACCTGACATGTGCTTTGTACCACCCATCAAAGCTTACCAGTGCATGGCTGGAATTACCCCCTGTACAGAAATGGCAATTAAATAAACCGTGTGGCAATCAGATGTGGAGACAGCCACCTTCAAAAGCGAAGAACCCACACTCTGCTCTTTTGCTCTTCAGCTCTTGGTGCAAAGAAAAGCCCCTAAAGGCTTCCTTTCTGGCCATGCACCAGCTACAGCAAGGCAATTCCTGTCTACTAACCAGGCAGCATGCGCCTCCCTGTGCTGAGAGCCCCAGAAATCGCAGCACAGAAAACACCGAGCGCAAAGAGCAGAGGAAGGCCCTTACCCTGTCCCTGCTCTCCTGGCTCAGCCCGGAGGCGTACGTCCCATAGGAGTTCACGGGAGGCTCCAGCGGGCTGCCGATGCTCCCGAAGCACTCTGCAGACGAGCTCGGAAAAGGGTGCTGGGGCACGGAGGGAGCAAGGCTCGGCTGCTTCTTGGGAATAAGCTGGTATGAGGAGGTGGGGAAAAACCCCGAGTATGGAGCCATGTCTTCCTGGGAGCCCCCGCTGCCCTCAGTTTCCATGCTGCATAATCCGTTCAGGCTGAAGTGTATGGCCGGCGTGCCAGGCCCTGGACTCAAGCATCCCTGGTGCTGAGAGAACAAGTCTTGGCTGATGCCATAAAAACCAGGCTGAGCTGGGGACCCGAGGAGTGGGCAAACATAGTCCTGCCATGGGCTGGAGCTGCTGCTGGTAAGGAGGTGTGGAGCGGAGTCGGGGCTGTGGCCACACAACCCATTCATCGGCAAGTGACGGTCTTTCGGCTGGTTGGGTGGTCCCATGCGGCCCTGGCACTGGCTGGGCAGGGATAAGGACCGGCGAGCATCCTGGGTGGGATGCACGGCTGGGAAGTCACCCTCCAGCTGCCGAGCCCTGGGTGCCTCCGGCGGGCAGGGGGCTCCCGGGGATGCGCCGTGCA